TTCAAATGCTAAGCTGCCCAAGGCAGTTAGAAGAGAGAAGGGAAAGGGGGTTTGGTTTGGTTTGGTTTGGGGGGTGCATGGGAAGGGAGGGCAGGTGAGGCCTCAGGGCACAGGGTGAGGCCTGGTGGTGATGGGATGGCTGAGGCCAAGTCAGGGGCCGGCTCCAGCAGCCCAGGAGCTGGGGCAAGTGCCAACCAATGTGTGCTGTTAGGGCCCTGGAGCCACATTAGTCACCTAGCTGCAAGGTCTGTGGGGACCTTGGTGAATGGACAAGCTAAGCCTCCCTCTTCTGTGGCCCCAGGTGATGAGGCGGCCAAGTCAACCAGCCTGGGAAGAGGACAGAGCTCTGCTGGCCAAGGCTCCACTCCACACCCCCTCCAGGCGGATGCAGACACGGACAGCCTGCCCCCTGAAAACAGGAGGGGGAGACGCCCCTTCAGGGGCCAGCCACTCACTACGTCACTACAGTCCTCGAGAGCCATGCCACACACACTTCCTGGACAGGATCTCACTGGGAGGGCCAGAGACGCTGACCACTCCTTCTCTGCGGTGCCACCCCCATGGTGTGTCCAGAGACAGCATTATTCCCAACACTGGCACTGTGACATCCGTCCCCCTTCCTTGCCACCCCGCGTCTGTCCTTGTAAACGCCACCTTCTAAAGGCCTTCCACAGCCTGCGTGCTTCCACCTGCTGCCCTGTGTGCGGTTTCGGCCATCAAGGTTTCTTGCCAGGACAAGGACAGCAGCCTTCTGGCTCCCCTCACGCTGCCGGGCTCTGCTGCTCCTCAGGACTCCCCTTTCCAGAGCTCATTTGGTCTGGATGCTTCCCGCCCAGCGTCCTCAGGCCTCTGCCTAATGGACCAGCCTCTTCTCTCACCACCCCAAAGCACTGGAGCCCCACCTGCAGGGCGTCCGGAGGGCGGGCCCAGCTCCTGCTCTGCTGCCGCCTGGGCCCTTGGGGCCTCAGCACCTCACCCTGTGCAGCAGTCACCTTCTAACTTCTCCCCTGCCGCCTGGAGCCTTTTCCTCGGATGCGCTGCTCTGGCTCTCGCCCCTTCTGTCCCGTTGGGCGGAAGCCAAGGAGACCCAGCATGGCTGCTGCTGAGTGCCGTGTTCTGTCCTCTTAAACTACACTGGGTCCTGAGAGAGGGACAGGATTTGTTTCTCTTTAGGTCACAGGTCACACTCACGGTACATACCGGCCACCGAGCGGCAAAGCTCATGGGTTCCCAGACACCAGGGCAAAGGCGGTGAGCGGATGTGTGGGGCACACTCTTTGTCCCTCTCCCTGGGTCCCCCACCCCCACCCCGTCTAGTTCTGTGTCCACTTCTGGGCTGGGTTCCCTGGGCTCCTCCATCCCTGGCTTCCACCAGGTTCCGTGGGAAGCACTGGCACAAGGCCTGCAGCTGGAGGACACGAGTTCTCCTTCTCACAGTGCACGCAGGAGTGCATGTGCCTGAGTGCGGCCACCTGGTCCAGCTGTCACACACTAGCTTCCTCTGTCCTTAAATACAGGATGTATCTTCAGTGGGTTGGGTGATACTGTATGAAATCAGGGGAATGGAGCTTCTGGGTTTGTTGTGTGGGTGTTTTTTAGTATTAGCAAGTGAACCAGGGACATTTTTGCCACTGAGCTATATCCCCAGCCCTTTAAATTTTTTAAATTTTTTTTTTCTTGAGGCAAGATCTTGCTCAGTTGCTGGGGCTGGCCTCAAACCCACAGTCCTCCTGTCTCAGCCTCCCAGGTGGCTGGGATGACAAGCCAACACCACCTGCCTTTTTCTTAATAGAACTACAATGCTTCAACCTCCAAACGCAGTTGGTCCTGGTTGGGGCACCTCACAGAGATCGCAGAGATCGCACTGTACATGGGGAAAAGGGAATCCTCAGGAGCCAAACACTCCCATGACTTGCTGTGGGACAGTGAGCAGATATTCATAAAAATGGACCATGTGTCCTATAATGAGAGCAACCTTGGTGCTTTGAGATAAATTAGCAACCTCAGGAGAGCGTTACCAGGTCACATTTCACAGAAGGAATATCTCTATGATTCTCAGATGAAATATCTGAGGGACGCCAGTGGCACGATGTCTGTGTTGAGACAGCGGTAACAGTGGTGTGCACACCTCAAAAAATGTTGTCAATACTGAGTGAGAAGTGCCAGCAACTGACAGGTGCAGCGGTGCACACCTGTAATCCCAGCAACTCAGGAGGCTGAGGCAGGAGGGTGGCAAGTTCCAGGCCAGCCTCGACAACTTAGCTACACTCTGTCTCAAAAAAAGGGGGGGAATGGGGGGCTGGGGATGCAGCTCAATGGGAGAGTGCCACTGGATTCTATCCCCAGAATGATAGAAAAAAAGAAATATTGGCAAATGCTTAGCACAGCTTTCAGTACACAGTATGTGCTCAGTAAAGTGGCTTTATTATAATGGTTGTTGGTAATAAATGCAGCTAGGAAGTATCTCAATTAAGAGCCACAAAAATAAAAAACTTATTGTGTGGTTTCTGAGGAAAAGAAGAATGGCATGTTTGGCTGCTTGGGCCATAATAAATTAGACCAACTGCCTCTATCCATTGCCCTTCCCACCTCATTTTTTTTTTTTTTTTTGGTACCAGGGATTGAATTCAGGGGCACTCGACCACTGGGCCACATCCCCAGCCCTATTTTGTTAAGGCCTTGTTGGCTTTGAACTCGCAATCCTCCTGCCTCAGCCTCCCCAGCTGCTGGGATTACAGGCCTGCGCCGTGGCGTCCGGCTCCATCTCATTGTTCTAAGCAGACTTTCTTATGACCTTCCTTATTTGATTCCTCTCAGACGATGAAAACTATCTGAAGAGTTTTTGTTTTGTTTTGCTTTGAGCCACATCCCAGTCCATTTTTTATTTTGAGGAGTCTTGCTAAATTGCTGAGGCCGGCCTGGAACTTGTGATCCTCCTGCCTCAGCCTCCTGAGCCACTGGGATTACAGACATGTGTCCAAGTGGCTAGCTGAAGACGATTTTTGATTTGAGGATTCTCTGCAAAGTTCTTCATGTTCTCTGGAGGAACAATGCCTTTTAAAATCTAATCACCAAATAAACAGACCAATGAACATAGGGAGTCTTCACTGAAAGCAAAAGTGCATCACTCTGAGGGCTCTTGATTTCATAGTTCAAAAAGATAGAGACGCAAAGGATCAATTATAAATGGTATTACTTCCTCTGTGTTTCCAGTGATTTTTATTTTATTTTTTATTTTTTTAAATATATTTTTTAGTTGTTGATGGATCTTTATTTTATTTATTTGTATGTGGTGCTGAGAATTGAACCCAGTGCCTCACGCATGCTAGGCAAGTGCGCTACCACTCAGCCACAACCCCAGCCCCTCCAGTGATTTTTAAATTATATTATTTGCTTGCTGTGTATTCCATTAATTTTCATTTGGTGAGCTAAGTATTTCACTTAGAAAATGTATAAGAGTTGCTGGCTGGAAAGTTTCAAAGTCTCATCAACATGATCTATCCTTCCTTCCTTCCTTCCTTCCTTCCTTCCTTCCTTCCTTCCTTCCTTCCTTCCTTCCCTCCCTCCCTCCTTCCTTCCCTCCCTCCCCTCCCTTCCTTCCTTCCTTCCTTCCTCTTTCTTAGACAGGGTTTTGCTCTGTTGCCTGAGCTGGTCTCTGATGGAGGTTCCAGCTCAGCCTCCTGAGTAAGTGGGGTGACAGGCATGCACTGGGCACACCATCACACCTGGCTCCTTAATTTTTTAATTGAACATTGGAGCAAAAATAGAGCACTTTAATTATATTTTAATCTTGGTAAACATTGAATTAAATACCCATTGTGCCCCAGTCAACTTTAGGTACTGAAAATTCAACACTGACTAAGAATCAGTTCCCACCTCTGGGTGTTCATAGTCGAGCGGGAGAGGTGCATGCAGATTCAGGTGAGGTGATTATGTCTGGGAGAAGTCAACCCTGTCATTAGGACCGGATTTTTCTTCTTTTTGTACCAGGGATTGAACCCAGGGGCATTTAACCATTGAGCTACATCCCCAGTCCTTTTTATTTATTTATTTTTTTTATTTTGAGACAGGGTCTCGCTAAGTTGCTTAGGGACTAATTTGCTGAGCCTAGCCTCACACTTGTGGTCCTCCTGCCTCAGGCTCTCCTGGAATTACAGGTGTGTGCCATCACTCCTGGCAGGACAGGGTATTTTCAGGAGGCTTTACTAAATTAAAAAAGAGACACGGGGCTCGCAAAGATGGTGGCGTTGGGGGTGCTGGAGTCAGACACGCCACGTGCCGTGACACCCTTGGAACATGTCCAGGAACAGATGGTGGCTGTAACACTGAAGGCACTGACCCCAAAAGTTCCATCAGGGGGCTAGGGATGTGGCTCAAATTTAGTGCGCTCGCCTAGCCTGCGTGAGGCACTGGGTTCGCTTCTCAGCACCACAAAGAAACAAAATAAAGATACGTGTTCACCTAAAACTAAAAAATAAATATTAAAGCAAAAAAAAAGTTCCATCGGGAGCCCCTTCCTGCAGAGAAGGGTCTCAGCTTCCTGAAAGTTAAGATCAGCTGCTGCACATGTACCTTATGGATCTGAGTCACCTCATCCTGGACAAAGTCGCAGGAGGATCTCTTCAGGGACATGCTGCAGTTTTGAGACTGCAGAGATTCGCACAGTGTTGGAAAAGCTTCGTGGACCAAAAACTGAAGTGTCATATTGACAAACTGGTTAAGATTGCAGTGACAGGCAGCCTCAGTGAGAAGGACCCACTCTGTTTGAAGCCTCATCCCAGCAATACGATAAGCAAGTTGAGCTCTGAGGATGAAGAGGAAGAGGAAACAGAGGATGGCCAGTCCGAGGCCATCGACACTCCTTTTGTAGATTTCTGGTCTCTGATAGAGGTTCAGCCTCAGCTCAGCCTCCTGAGTAAGTGGGGTGACAGGCATGCACTGGGCAAATCACCACAACTGGCTCCTTAATTTTTTAATTGAACACTGGAGCAAAAGTAGAGCACTTTCAAAATTATATTTTAATCTTGGTAAACATTGAATTAAATACTCATTGTGCCCCAGTCAACCTTAGGTGCTGAAAATCCAAGACACAAGTCCCACCTACCTGGTGCCAGTACATTATGACGGCACAGAAGCTGAGCAGGAGAAAAAGCATCTGGAAGGAGCCAAGAGGTGGTTCTGTCATTCGTGAACTTAGCGAGCAGTACTCAGGTGCTCCAGAAGAAATCTGAGATACTGGCCATCCTCACGTCACTCGCCAGAGTCAAGAGGACAGACAACATAGGATTAACTAAGGAAAGCACGTTTAAGTGTCAGGAAGCCAGAGGAAGGACGGTGACAAAGAGCAAATGTCCTGAACCCACAGCTTCATTCCCTCACTCCCTTCAGTGACATCAGTGCAGCGACAGGAGGAACGGCTCTCTTGATGAGGATCAGAATCCTGTTAAGCGGACGAAGATCCCTAAGCAAGGTCGGAAGGAAAACGGTTCTCGGAGGCAGCGGTGATCAAGGGTGTACGTGTTTTATGCATTTTTTGTCATCCTGGGATACTTGTATTTTCACTGTAGGTAGGTCTTTTCCTTGGAATTGTTTGCTTTGGACATGTGGAAACATCTTTAAGAAAACTGATCTCTGAAAATTGATCTCTGTGCTGAAAAAGGAAAAAAAAAAAAAAGAGCCAGTAACTTCTTCCGAGTCTTCACAGCCACATTTGTGATTGAGGGTATCTGTGAAAAGGTTCTGTCTCTGTCCGGGGATGGTGCCCATTTTTATTTCCCAAACACAAGCTTAGGGCTTGAGTGTCATTTAGTGGGAGAGAAAGCTTATGGTTCTGTACCTGCCTTATACGGTTCCATGTGCATTTGAATTTTTGGAGTGCATTTGAATTCACCGAAATCCACCATCGTATTAAAAGTTGGGTGTTTGGGAAGCAGTTGGCCACTTGACTTCCTTAGGCCTATGGACTCCTTCTCATCCGTGTTCACATCGTTCTTTGTCCCTCTTATTCCTGGCTGGCTGGCTGTGTCCATTTAGTTTGGGACGGTTGCTATTCAGTCTGTCAACAGTACCTAATGAGCACCTGCTCTGTGGCCAACATTTTCGTCAAGGATGATGGGCCATCACCCTGTTGGCAGAGCAAGTCCTTACCTGCTTTGTACAACTTAAAAGTCCCTCTTGAGCTGGGGATGTGGCTCAGTGGTAGAGCGCTCGCCTAGCATGCATGAGGCACTGGGTTCGATCCTCAGCACCACATAAATGTAAAATAAAGATATTGTGTCCACTTAAACCTAAAAAATAAATATTAAAAAAAGAGTTGGGCTGGGGATGTGGCTCAAGCTGTAGCGTGCTCGCCTGGCATGTGCGGGGCACTGGATTCAATCCTCAACACCACAAAAATAAAATAAAGATATTGTGTCCACCTAAAACTAAAAAATAAATATTAAAAAAACGTTGTGCTGCAATTGTGTACGATGAATCAAAAATGCATTCTGCTGTCATATATACCCCACTAAAATAAATAAATTTAAAAACAAAAAAGAAAGTTCCTCTGCTACAAAGAGTCTCTTTGCGAACACAGTAGAACACAGTTGTAGCCTGTAGATATTGCCTTAAATTCTACCATTAGAGATTCATTATTTTGACATAACAAGTATTCTTATTTAAATGTGGATTCCATCTTAAAGCTGGTTGATAAAGGTTTATATAACTCATGTAACAGGGGTTCATATAAAATAGTGGCTTAGGAATCTCTCTGTATGTTCGTAAATTTCCATGAAAAATACATTTTTAATGCATATACTTTTTAAAAATATATTTTAGTTGTCAATGGACTTTTATTTTATTTATTTATATGCAGTGCTGAGAATTGAACCCAGTGCCTCACACGATAAGCAAGCGCTCTACCACTGAGCTACAACTCCAGCCCCACAGCAATTTCATTTCTGATCCTAAGGATATAATCTGAAATTCAAAGATTTGTGCATGAAGATTTTTCACTATAACATTATATATAACTGCAAAAACCTCAAAACAACTAAAAAGGGAATAATTGGGGACTGGTTAAATACATTGTAATACATCTCTAGGCTAGAACATTGTGCAACATTAAAGATGATTTTATTTTTTTATTGGTTTTATTTTTTTAAATACACGATAGCAGAATGCATTATGATTCTTATTACACATATAGAGCACAATTTTTCATATCTTTGTATAAAGTATGTTCATGCTAATTCATGTCTTTATGTGTGTACTTCTTTGCATTACAATTCTTATTATACAGATATACCACAATTTTTCATATCTCTGTATATAAAGAAGGTTGACACCCAATTCATCTCTTCATACATATACTTTGGATAATGATGTCCATCACATTCCACCATCCAAAGATGATTTTCAAAACAAGTTTTTATAATGTTGTGTGACTCATATAAGTAAAAAAGCAGGATTCCAAAAAGTTTATGTGACATGGTTCCAATTGTGCAAATGTTAGGATTGAGGGAAGTGAAGTTTTGAGGGACAGTAGAAAACCTTGGGTGTGGCATTTGGAAAGAGGCCTGTGTGTTTTGTTGTGCTGGCTTCGGAGGAGAGATACAAAGCACTGGAAGATAGCGAGTGAGGCCATCGAGATGCACTCTGTGTCCTATACTCAAGCAAGAAGCTTAATGAGGGTGGGGCTGGGGCTCATCGGTAGAGCGCTTGCCTAGCACATCCGAGACACTGGGTTTGATCCTCAGCACCACATAAAAATGAATCAATTAAACAAAGGTATGGTGTCCATCTACAACTACAAAAGAATAAAAAAAAAAAAGAGTTGAGCAGAGCGGCAAGAGCTGGTAGGCTGACCTGGTGACACTGTATACATAAATCATAAGGAAACAGAGTGGGAGTGGGACTGGTGGACTATCTGAATGCTATATGTAATAATAATGCTATATGTAATAATGTAATAATGTTTTATGAGTGCATGATAGTTTTGCATGAATAGGGGGTCATTTTGACATAATCATACTGCATAGAAAATTATTTACTCCATTTCAGAGCCCATTGCTTCCTCTTTCCATCCTTTCCTGCCTCCCTCACCCTCCTCCCTCTACTCTGCAGGTCTTCCTTCAATTCATTTACTTTTTTTTAATTGGTGCAAAAAGGTGGAATTCACTGTGGTCTATTCATCTATGTACACTGAAGGCTATATACCACTTTTTAAAAACTATTGTTATATGAAACCGCTGTAGAATCTCACTGGCATAAAATGCCATGAACAGAGCCACACTTGGCAGAATGTGTGCTGCATGTTCCATTTTATAATAAGGCAGGCTAAACATATTTACAGTGATAGAGCCACAACCGTGGTTATGACAGAAAGAGGAGTCCTGGAAGGACAGCACACAGCCTGCTGGGACTGCTGTGTCTTCACTGAGGTGGCAGTCACAGGGACAGGTGCATGTCAGATCTGAACGACCTGCCCTCCTTTTACTCCTGTCATATGGGCTGTACCTCCTCACAGCTGCTGTCCCTCATCCTCATGCCGCTCCCACAGTGGACCCTCAGCCTCTAAGAAATGAGAGGACCCTTCTCCCCTGAGTTGACTGTTGTCAGTGTCCTCTCAACAGCAAAACACACCACCTGAAGACACACAGCTTAAAACTTCAGCAATTACTGCAGTCCTGTGGGTGGGCTGCCCTGGGTGGCCTCTCCATGCTGGGGTTGCTTATGGCTGCCTCCTGGTCTCTTTCTGCCCAGTCTCTCAATAGAAAATTCAGACTTCCTTACCCAGAAGCAGATCTTGAGGAAGCTGGAGACACACAGTGCAATATCTGGGAGCTTTGGCACAGAAACATGTGCTGTAACTCCCAAAGCATTCTATTTGTCCATGCTAGTTACAGAACCAGCCCAGATTCAAGATTCTGCACCTTGATGGAAGGAGTAGACAGTCATGCTGGAAGAGGGTGCTCTTTGGACAGCAGTTCAAGAGGAAAGACCTAATGATATGGATGCCAGCGGTTCCCCAAGGAAATGGCTTAGCAATGTTCTAATATCAGATACGACAAAGCTCATGGTCAACATCTGCACCCACCCACCCACACATAAGAAATATTAGCCAAATCCCTGAATATCTGAAGAAAATTTCTAGCATGAAGATAGCGACACAAACAAGCAGTAAAGTGTAACTTGGAGGAAATAAATTATAAAAGGAGAATGATGTGTTTTAAAACTATCATTATTCATGAAGAGGAGAGAGAAAAGACATTGTATCAATTAAACAAGAACAGGATAAGAAATAGGATAAGAAAGAACATTCAGTGAACTAATAGAAGCTCTTGAAAACTAAAAGCATCATAGTAGAAATAAAATCTTAATAGAAGGCTTAGGACATAGTAAATAAAAGTTAAGCAAATAGATAAAACCAGTAGAGAAATTAGAGAACTGATTCTAGATAACCCACTTCTAGCTATAGGGGTTCCAGAGGAACTAACAGAAAGCAAAGGAAAAACATCATCAAGGGAACAACTACAGAAACGTCCCCAAACCCAGGGATTTGGATTTCCAGGGGGAAAGTGCTGCCAAAGTCCAACCCAATGGATAAGAACAGCTTCACTAATCTTGAAATGTCATCAAACTATGAACAAAAAAAGTCCCTACACTCTTCCAGAGAGAGAGAAAAAAAATTGGTCTATACAAAATCGTGTCTTTGGACTTCTTGACAACAATGCTAGAATCTAAGAGACAATGAAGAGATGATGTCAAAATTTACAGGAAAGTTATTTTCAGCTGAGGATTTTAGCCAAATTACCAAGAAGTGATAAGGGTAAAAGAATGATGTTTTCCTACATTTGTGATCTCAATACACTTCCATTCTCTTGCCCTCTTCTTCAAAGAGCTCCTAGAAGGTTGTTTGGCCAATACAATAGATGTGGGATTGAAACAGAACCAAAGGAGAGAATCCCCAGGGTGTGGTGGAAAGACCTTTCAGATGGCATCATGCACCAGGCATGAGGGCAGCTGGTCCACAGCTTGGCAGAGGGCCAGAAAGAGCTATTTTGCCAGCGTGAAACTGATGGAAGTTCTCGCAGACCCAAACACCTTAAGAGCGGAATTAGAAAACTGGTGGGGGACCTGAAGTTGAAGTACACAGAAAACCAAGCAATAAAAAAGACAATTATTAACTCTGTGGGAAATAAAATATAAAAAGAAAAGTAATTATAGTGCACTCTATGGCTCAACTTGTAAAATATGTATATAGTCTTCATATGTATGTGCATGTGATGTTTTATCTTACATTTCTAATTGTTTGTAGTCAAAGGGGTAACAAAATGAATTAATACTCCCATAACCCTGGAACCAGATTTGAATTGTCCTCTAGGGGTTGAGGGGAGTCCCCCCAGAGGAGAGAGGGAAGGCTTGCTGGGGTCGGGGGAGGGGGTTGAGTGTTTTGATGCATCTCAGAGTTGGTTAATATTCTCCCTAATGATAAGCTCCCTGTAGCTAACTATAAGATATTTGAAATAGGGCATAAGCTGGGCTCAAATTCTTTCACTATGGAAGACAAATCTATGTGTTTCTTTTTAGCATGCCTCTTTCTGCACGATTTTTGGGTATTACAAATTCTGAGCTTCACTTTTCATCATCCTGGAATGTTTGACTACAAATGCTCACTCTGATGAATTAAGGGTAAAGTAACAGTGTAGTGTATGGTGTAGGATGATCATAAGTTACAGAAGATTTTCAAGGCTTGACTGGATAGCTTGGCTAACCAATAAAAAGTTCTTCCAAAATGTAAGGAGAGGGAGGAAATAGAAAGCAAGGTTTAACATAAAAAGCAAGGGAGAGTGAGTGATGTCAGAGCATAGATACTGGCAACAGGAAATATAGAACTTGAGAAAATTGAGTTGAGTTCCATTATTAGACTCACCTTTGAAAATTAAATTGCTGAGATGCATATTCTAAAATTTGGGTACAATTATGTAGGTTGTCTCCACCCCACAACTGTGTATTTGTGAGATGTTCCCCCAATGTTTGCAAGATCAGTCTTGCGTGGAAACCTGTCGTGGATTCTGGTGGAAACAAATACTATCTCAAAGAGCTACTTCGCCGCTTATTATTAGAAAAATTTGCAAGCGATCTCACCTCTTTTTAGTGAGTAATCCCATGAGGACATGTTAATTTGCTTTTATTTGGAACATTAGTGTTGAGCCTGTAGAGAATGAAATTCCTTTGTCCAGACATTTTTTGATGGCTCTAGTATGTGTGGAAAGAGGCATCTTCCGTGGACACACTCCATTATCGTAAAAGAAAGAAAGAAAGAAAGAGGAACATGTATTAGGACCCAGCTGTCATGGACTTAGTTTAAGATGGTTTTTTGCAGCAGGCGTCTGCGAGAGCTGTCCGTGGTGCTGAGCGCGGGGCCGGCTCCCGTCCGCCTTCTCCGCAGAACTGACTGCCGCCCCCTTGCTCTGCCCTTTCCTCCCTCTTACACCAACCGGCGAGGGCGGCACGTCGTATTTTGTCCTGGGAAGCAGATGACCTTGTCTCGGACGCCCCGCTCGCGCCCTCCCCGGGAGGCGGCGCCCTCCCCGCGGGGCCCCCTGGCGGGCGGCGAGGCGACGACCCCGCCCCACCCACACAACCTCACGGCCGCGCCCTGCGCGCGCCCGGCCCTCCTCCACGCCCCCTCCCCACCGCCACGCACCTGCTCTCCGCGACCGGATCCCGCCCAGCGCGCCGGCAGCTGGGGTCCCGGGAGCCCGCAGCCGAGAGCGGTGAGGAAGGCGGAGCAGAGGGCTCGGCGGCGCGGGGAGTCGACGCGGGGCCCGGGCGCGCGGGCGGCGGCCTGCGGAGCGCGGCGCGGGCATGGACGCCGAGTACCCTGCCTTCGAGCCCCCGCTCTGCAGCGAGCTCAAGCACCTGTGCAAGCGGCTGCAGGAGGCGTACCGCGAGCTGAAGGAGGACCTCACGCCCTTCAAAGATGACCGCTACTACCGGTAGGCGCGCCCGGGCCGCCGCCCTCCGCGGGCCTGCGGCGCCCCCCGCGCCCCGCCGCCGAGCCCCGGAGGGGGCTGGGAACCCGGCGCTGGCCGCCGCGCGCGCCCACGGGGTCCCCCGCAGGTCGCGGCCGCAGGGCCAGGGGCCCTTTTCCATCCCCGTAGACCAGAGCCGACGCTCGCCTCGGGAGAAAGGGACCCTGGGCTTTGGTCCCCGCTTGGCTCCTCCCTCTGCCTCGTGGCTCTCCCTCCCCTCCCCGCGCCGGCCGCTCCGGCCTCGCGGAGTCCGGCCTAGGGGGTCTGTCACTTCTCCTGGAACTAGGGGAGCGAGGGCGGGCCCTGGCCTCTGCCCTGGGGTGAAATCTCTGGGGCTGGGGCGCTGCCAAGGTCGGGGATACAGTGTCACACGACTGGGTGGCACCGCCGTGAAGATGCGGGGAGGCCTTGTATGGACGCCCCGAGGAGCTGTGGACTTGGGCGTGTTTGCGTTCTTTCCTGTCGTCCTCTCCTGGGTGGCGAGAGCCGTGGGGCCTGCAGGTGCTGCCGCAGGGCACCCACCCCTTCCCCTCTGTGCAGCGCTGTTCTGGTGGGGAAGGGTGTCCTGCCAGGGTCTGCTTTTACCTACTGTATCCGGGTGTCAGGAAAGGACGCTCTCAGGAGTCGTGTGGCGTGCACCCTAGATTGATTCTGTTACTTACTAGCTCTGGAGCTGAGAAAGTTACCCAATTCCGCACCTCAAGAGTCCTCACCTTTAATGGGAAGCATGAACCGGAAGGATTCTAGTAACAGCTTACTCCCTCTGTGTTCAAGAATGGCAATTGTACTGCCAGCTGTCGTTGAATTTATGGTCGTCAGTTTTATTCTACTTACCCTGTGCTAGTAGTTACACCATTCATGCTCAGAATACGTAGCATATTTAGTAAATCTTCTCAAAAGCCTACTGGTCTTCTCAAAAGCCTTCTGGCTTCCCAGGGGGGCTCATTAGCAATATATCCTGGTTGTGATCATGATTGCTGAGTGAAAAATCCCATTCTTTAAAACAATACAATGCCAAGATCAAATGTTGTAGTTTGAAGATGAGTCCCTCAATCTTTAATGCAGCCTCCTGGCAGACCGGACAGGTAAAAGAGCCCACAGAGATTTATCTATTTAAAAAACTAAGTTGTAGATGAACACAATACATTTATTTTATTTATTATTTATTTTTATGTGGTGCTGAGGATTGAACCCAGTGCCTCACATATGTTGGGCAAGAGCTCCACCTCTGAGCTGCAACCACAGCTCTCAGGTAGTTTTTTTTTTTCTTTTTTTAATCTTTTTTTCCAGTACTGGGGATTGAACACCTAGGAGAGTTCCACCTTTGAGACAGGGTCTTGCTAAGTTGTCCAGGCCGACCTTGAAGTTGCTATTCTATTGTCTCAGCCTCCCAAGTCGTCACATTATGTTTCTGAAGTAAGATTATTTCCAGTCTCCCTTCCTACGTTTTCAGTCAACTTTGCATCACTGTGACCAAAGACTTGACAAGAACAACTTAAAGGAGGAAAAGATGATCTGGCTCATGGTTTAAGAGGTTCAGTTCATGGTCATATGACTGCACAGCTCTGGGCCCAAGGTGAGGCAGAACTTCAGGGCAGAGGGCACATTAGAGGCAAGCAGCTCAGAATATGGCTGGCAGGAAGCAGAGAGAGCTCACCAGGGACAAATGTAAAACCAAAGGCACACCCCAGTGAGTTATTTCCTCCAGCCATATCCTGCCTATCTACACTTACCCCCCAGGTAATCCATCCTACCTCTGAACATTCTTGAATTATCTCACACATGAACTTTTGGGGGACACATATCTAGTTTTCTTCCTCTCTGGTTCCTCCTTGCTTCATTTTATTTTCCTGGAAATGTTTCTTTGGCAAATGAGCTGGTGAATAGGAGAAAAGAACAAGCCACAGCACCCCTGGTTAACCTACCACTGGACCATCCTTTATTCATTTATCCATTTATTCCACTCATCAAAATTGAGCATCTCCTTTGTTCCTGCTGTTATTCTAGGGAATGGGGGATACAGCAGTGAGCAAAATGAGCTGCTGTCATGGGGCTTACAAATATTAGCTGAGGCTGAGTTATGATGAATGCTAGCAATATAGTAAGTAAGGAGCCATGATAGAGTGACCTGTGTCACTTCAGGGCAAGTGGTCAGGAAATACTCTTTGAGAAGGTGACATGGATGTGAAAACTGAAGAATGAGGAGCTCACTAGATAAGGAGGTGGAAAAGCTCCAGAGGAGGCAGGAGAAATGCAAAGTCCCTGTGGCCATATAAAAACAAGGTCTGAGGCTGGGAATGTGGCTCTGTGGCAGAGTACTCATCTAGCATATGTGAGGGCCTGGGTTCAACCCCCAGCACCACACACACTCTCTCTCTCTCTCACACACACACACACACACACAACCCATCCCCCCCCCAAAAAAAAACCCACGGTCTGTTCAGGGAATCCACAGAAGTCCATGGAGTGTGGGGCATTAGGGTCAGAGAGAAAGGCAGGCCAATGACTGTGTGTTTCATTAGAAATAGGACGTGATTCCACTTTAGGGTTTTAAGTCAGGGAAGTGACCTGAGCAGTTTGGCTGCGTGTCCTAAGCAGGCATGTAAGTCTTTGTTCCGGAACAACTTCATCAGTTAAGTTGGATCCTGAAGACCAATTTGCCATGGTTGGAAAAGGGCAGAAACAAATTCTACCCACTGCCACGAGAACAAGTGGACCGCAGGGTGCTTTACAATATTTTGTGTAGACAGAGCAGTTTGGCTGGATCACAAAGGCTTCCATAGTGAGGGAGTGTTTAGGTCACTGAACCAGCCTCAGATGCTCCATCGAGCCTTTGTATCACTGGAGTGTTCCTTCTCACACTAGGTGAAATGCTCTTGGGTTTCTAGGCCAGACAACTGACAGTTGCAGCGCCTGCCCCGCCTTGCTGGAAGGTGAACTTGCTACTACAGTGTTTGCTCCTGCTCTTCTCACCATCTCCACTTCTCTTTGGTGATTTTTGACTAGAAGGCACCAGCGTTTTTTTTCCCCTTGGAGCTGCAGGGAAATAACCTCACGTGTTTGACAGTTTCCTTGTAACATGGCGATACAGGGAACAGCTGCTAATGACCCATTTTCAAAAGATGGCTGGCCCTCTGGTAGCTGGCATGGCTGTCTATGGATCAGTTACGTAATCTGCTGAGCTGCAGCTGTGTGATCAAAGGACTCACAGTCAGTCATTTCCACAAAATGAGATACGGCCACTGTATTGCCTGCCAGGAAAGGGGACGTAGAAAAGGCTGGGGAACTGGAATCCTGGGTTCCAGTCTCAGCTCAGTCCTTGCAAACTCCCTGTCCTTGGGGAATGACTGAATTCCACAGGTGATCAGTTTCCACGCAGGAAAAAATGAAGCCTGTGATCTCAACTTCACAAGGGTGTTTTGAGAGTCAAGTGCTTTGAGAAGATTATACTACAGATGCTTCCTGCTGGGGCTGAGGTTGTGGTTCAGTGGTAGACTGCTTGCCTACCATTGCATGAGGCACTGGGTTCGATCCTCAGCACCACATAAAAATAAAATAAAAATATTGTATCTACCTAAAAATAAAAAATAAATATTAAAAAAAAGATGCTTCCTGCTACAGATAACAGAACACCAAAGCAGACCTGCCTGGATGGTAGGCGATGAATCAGGTTGTTGATCCAGCAGCTTAATGATGCAATCATTTTTTTTTCTTTTTAACTTGGTAGCAATTAGCTGCTGATAACCATTTTGAATCTTGGTTCTCATTCACATTCCTGTGAAGAAGTGGTTGGCTATCTTTGGTTCTAAAAGCAAAGAAATAACTTGAAGTCTACAGCAAAGTTCCTTGAGTCTCCCTATACCCCCCACACACAGCGGCAAAGTGAAGGAGACAGATATGTTGAGAAACACATGGAAATTTCCAGCACTGCCGATGGGTGGAAATAGATATAATTTCTATAGAAAACTATTTGCTGGTTTCTCCTAAAGTTGGACATACACATTCCCTTTGACCTGGCAGTTCCCCTCAGGTGTGTACCCTACAGAAATGCATACAGGTGTCCATCAAGGACATGTACAAAAATGTTCATAGCAGTAAACTGGAAACTAGCTAAGTATTCATCAACAGAATAGATAAATATATTTGACTCATTTCATAATCAAATATTATATTGCAATAAACAATTCACAACTACACACAGCAATCAAAAAGAATCTCATACAGTGTTGAGCAAAAGAAGCCAGACAAAATGCTTACCATTAGAATCCATCTATGTGAAATGCACAATAGTCCAGTGACTCTGTAGAAGTCCGATGTTTACTCTGGAGGGACAGAGCCAGGAAGGAAAGAAGGTGCTGATGCTAGTCTGCTTCTGGATCTGAGCACTGGTTCTATGGGTACATTTGCCTGGTGAACATGTACCCAGCTATTTGTGTATTCTGCTGTCAGAAGTCAGAGTTCCCTCCACACAAACCCAGCTGCCACTGTTGACAATGACCTTGGCTGGCTCTCCCTTTGCACATTTCCAGCTCTCTCTTTGAGCAGATGTGTGTCTGAGAGGCCAGTGGTGAGTGCTGGGCAGGTCATG